GGGGGGGTTGGGCATGGACTGGGAACCCGTACTGGAGCCCTTAAAACATTGCTTTTCATGGCCCGGGCGGGGATACAGGTCAAGTGAAGGAGGGGCAATGGGTCTTCACTGACGCCGACCCCCGCTTCGGGGTCGGCGGATATTGTACAGCAGACTGGTCTTGGTGTCTTGGCTGCCATATTCCTAGACTCCTTCAACCGTGGCCATTTTCAGATTCCCCCCTGAAAGCAGCCAAACTACTGTCAAACCTTGCGCTGGGAGACCTATGAATGTCAAACCCCGTTCCGAGATGTCCTCCCTGCAGGAGATTACGTCGCAGCCGGGAGTGACCACACAGATGCCATGGCCTCAGGGAAGATATTTTTATTCATTGGTTTGAAAGGGTGCGTTCCAGAATTTGTTTCTCATAATGATAAAGTGCACCCGTCAACTTTCTGACTTAGAGTTTCTTGTTTACTTGCTGGTCTTCCGTGTTTCGAGATGTCTTGGGCCATTCTACCTTAGATGCACGTCCGCTGGCGTGACACGCCGCCATGCCATTTCCGCAGGTGAGGTCACATCTTGGTGGAAAGGTTGTATGAAACAAGGGCTTTGTTCACTCGGAACTGGAGCTGCGCCATATGTAGCACTTAGCTCTCCGTGAAAACCCTGCACAGGATCAATCTTGCCCTCAGAAGGCATTTGAAGAGCTTCACAGTAGGTAGAGGTGACTATCATAGTTCCCATTACATTTTGAGACCCGCCATTGCCCCGCAGGCATACGGCCATATCTCATCACTGAGGAAACAGCGGCAGGAATTGGATCCGTGTGTTTGAAAACCCTTCCTGAACGCTAAACCCCAAACCCGTCTACAACCACTGAAACCTTCACATGCAAGCCCCTTACATCTGTCTTTGCTCCCTTGAGCTTGGAAATCAACCTATGTTCTCTTGATAGGGGCAATAAACGATCTGCTGCCCTAAGCCTTAAACCCTGAACCACAAAAGTTGCAGGTACGCTGTCTCGCGCTTCTCGGTGGCGGCAGGGCTGATGGCACCCTGGAGACTTGCTCTGACTTAATTTGAGGGGTTGAGGGTTTAGAGTTAAGGGTATCTCTGAGAAATGCAGATAAGAAAGCTAGCAGCATGAGATCTTCCGGAAACTAGGACTTTCCACGTTGTGGGGCATACCTGCTTTTCATGCCTTTCATGCATGAGATACGGCCTCTTGTCTGTTCAGCCCAGACTCTGCATATAATCACGTGAGATAGGGCTTCATTTTTGGATCTTGGATGATTTTGGTGAGCGTATATAGGGTTCCTGAGAGGTTGACAAGTGTATATCTTGGGGGTCGAACTAGGGAGACCATACATAGACACCACGGGCATATCCCACCTTTGGAACGAGTATTGTCCGTAACGTTCACAAGAAACAAAGCCTAAATCCTGAACACCCCTGAACTCCAAACCCTGAACCCTGAATTCTAGACCCCATGCAGGAGCGACCCCCCCTAATGGGAGCATCCATCAGCCTCGTAGTCAGAGGAGTAGGTGCCACCTAATAGGAGCAGTTCTGTTATTGGTGGCCAAAAGCTTACTGCGACGTGCAAAAGAGAGGGTTATTTATATCAATTCCCTGAACCCAAGCTCTCAATCCCACAACCCCAACCCACGACTCCTACAACCTGCGGTGTGGGCCAAGCAATTACCCATGTTGTGGCCCCAGATGCCTTGTATCAATATGGTAGAGGATATCGGCAAGTGTTTGGGCCCCTAACACCATGCCCTTAATCCATACACCCTCACGCCCTTAACCCGAAGCCCAGACTTCTGGGAGGATCTAGAAAGCAGATGACCCTTAGGGGTTCCTGAATTTATTCAGTAGTAGTACAAAGTACCTTACTGGAGGTTATACTTGAGGGGTCTGTGAAGGATTGGCACGGCCTCCTCGCCCAAAGTACTCAAGCAAGCAATGGAGTGCGGAGCCTGGGTGGCGTTCGGCTACATTGGCCAGGCATCCGTGTAGGTTTTGATCCAGGGCTAAGGGTTTAGGTTTGAGGGTTTCGGGTTTAGGGTTTAGGGCCAGGCATCCGTGTAGGTTGTGATCCCCTTCCCTGTAACATCCGCTCGCCCCCCTAGTAAATACCCCCTCCCCCCGAACATCCGTGAACCCTAAACCTTAAAACCTAAATCCTAAACCCAAGGCCGTAGCTAGGAGAGTGGGGAGGCTAGCATCAGGTCCAGCGGGTTTTAGGGGTGCAGGGATTCGTGTCTGAGAGTTGAGGGCCAGGTGTTTAGTGAATTTTGGGGTTACTGCGTCAGTCTATCCTAAACCCTAAACCCTAAACCTTCAACCCTGAACCCTAAACCCTTAACCATCCCCGCCAGGCTGTAGGCCTGATGACAACCACAGCCTCGAAGTCCTGCTTCATCTGTGCCGCCGACCAAATATTTTGGGTTTTTGAGTTGCTTTGGGTTTAGGGTTTAAGGTTTAGGGTTAAGTAAGGGCTTCGGGTTTAGGGGTTTGGGTTTTGGGTCTACAGGGGTTAGGCTTTCTGGATTTAGAGGATGTAGGGAGTTCTGGGATGTTTTCGGTGAGAAGTACAGGGATCTGGCAGCTGCCACAGACATGGAGCTGGGTCCTGACCCATTAATCTGTTTTTTTCTTCGTTTGATTTCCTATTTCTGTAACTTCCATCTTCTTTGCATTCCAATTGTATACCCCTGTATAGTCCCCATAGAGCCCTAGTTTCCATTTCATTTTCCATGTTCCTTTTCATTTGACTCCACTATTGGGTAGCATGTCTTCGTCTATGCTCCTTAGAGGGACCTTGGATTTCCATTTCGTTCGCCATTTCCTTCTCTATTTGATTTTCCATTCCTGGGGTAATGTTCCTAGATAATCCCTGTATCATTTTCTATATTCTTCTCCATTTGCTCCTTTGGTGCTATGTGTGAGGTCCTAATGGATGGCATTGGTTACATGCTATCTTGAGAAGAGGCAAATGGTGGCATTCTATTTTTGATGACTACCGTCAAATCATCCGTAGATCCCTGTGAAGCCCCGCTGCTTCCCACGGACTCTCGTATAATTCACATAAATCCACTGCTTGGCAACATGCTGTCCGAGGTTCCTTGAACGTCGTCTTTGTAGCGATGATCGTGGGCGTTCCTGGGATTCAAGGAAGGCCTAACAAACAAATGAGAAGTGTTGGAGGCGTATTAGGGAAGAATATGCTACAAACAGTTCCATATGTGCTAAAAGTCAGTATGGGCTGCTACAGAAGTGAGGATGGCCACAAAAGGGCACAGATAGTCATGGGAGGCATTTGCACTCGCTGCCTTGTTGATATCTCAAGTGTACAGTCATCACGGTAGTGTGTTTTGCACTTGCCGGACTTGCCCCTGCAATGCCGCCACCAGTACGGCGAAACACGTGCTTAATCCCAATCTATCCCTGGTGTCCCTGGCACCCCCTACATCTTCAGCAGCCCCGTAGACCCATTTCTGAAATCCCGCAAAACCTGCGAGGCTATGCTAGAAACTGGTGGTGGAAGCCTTAGGGCCCTCATGGAGTCGCCAGGGCTTAGGCACCCTGCGATTCGTCCCAACATTTCAACCCATAGACCCATTTGATTTTTTCAGTAAGTAGGGGGACCCCAATACAGACCCCAAAACACCAAAATCCTCATTTGTGGTACCCCAAAAAGAGACCCCTTAATGTGGAGATCCCTATTTGGCAGTTTCCCTAAATAGGGGAACCCCAATATGGACCCCCAAATATTGTAATCCTTAACATAGGAACCCGCCAAAAGGGTACCCCCAATTTTGGGAACCCCCTATTTGTCTTCAGCTGAGATCACCAAGCGCAAGTTCGATCCCCAGACGTTAGCTGCTGCTGTGCTGGCCGTCGCCGGAGCTGCCCGGTATGGAGTCAAGAGTCTAGGGTTTAGGGTTGAGGGTTTGGGTTCAGGGTTAGGTCTAGGGTTTAGGTTTTAGGATTTACCGCAGGACTGTAGGGGCCTAGAACATTTATAGAGTTACATAGTGCTATGTAGGGGTATATTGGGATCATACAGGATTTAGGGAGAGTACCACAACAACGGAGAATCAAATGGACAAGAATATGGAACAGAAAATGGTATATAGGGTTCAGGGTCTCGGGGCCTATATTATTGCAAGAATGGAGAACCAAATGGAAAAGAACAGGGAACATGAAATGGAAGCTGCTATATTACTTAGGGTATGATGTGCAGTGTTCTACCCTTGCTTCCCCAACCCCCAAGGGCAATCGAGAAGCTTACAAAACAGATCCCCAAAAGGGGTCCGCAATTCTTTAAAGCTCCCCCGCACGACTTCGGAAAATGGTTCAGGCAGAACCCTGAGCCCATAACTTAAAGCGAAACCCTAAGCCCGAAACCCTGGTTCCTAAAAATAGCTGGTACCTGTAGTAGGCAAATGGCCCAGGTAAACCTACTTACCCAAAGCCTGTACTATAATTACTATTACTCAAATCCCAAGTACCTAATTCTTTTAAACCTTTCCTGGTGATCCATGAACCCTGAACCCTAAACCCTACATGGCCCAGGTAGGCTTCTTGGAGCTTGCAGGGTCGCAGCAGTTCGTCATCGGACTGGGCCCCAAAGAAGTCTTGTGTTGGTCAGAAGGGTTTAGGAGGTTGAGGGGGTCTAGGGGGTTTAGTAAGGGGGTTTGGAGGCTTTGGGGTTTATGCAGCTTAGGGGGTTTAACGGGCTTGGGGGGTTCAGGCTTTAGGCGGTGTAGACTGGTGGGTTTCATGTTTAAGTTTAGGCATTTTCATAACTGCGCGATTTTTGAGGGTTCCGTCACAAATCGAAGGAGGACGCAGTGTTGAGAGACAGAGACACCAGCTATAGTGTAGTGCTATTGTCTGCAATATGCCTTGAAATTTTAAAGCAGTTACTAGTCATAATCCCTATGTATTCCCTATGAAGCCATGAGAATTAAGTTTTTACAGAGCCGCTAAATCTATCCCCAGTAGTAGAGCGCCGCCTTTCACGTTGTCATGATGGACGGCCCACAGGCCGGACCACTTCAGAACCTTGACCCGGTTGACAGGAGCCATAATCTAAACTCCTTAAAGGGGGGGATTATATAGAGGATCATATCGGGGAGTATGATGGGGGTTATTAAGGGGGATGCTACGAGTTTAGACTATAGCTCACATAGTATTTGAAATTCCTGGCTCTTATCAGCTCTTCAGGCATCAAATTTGGCCCTCTTACACGTGCGTTTGATGCAGGATTCCTGACGACCCTAGCAACAGAGTTGACGCAGAGTGGTGTTCGCAAGGCATTGCCCCGAATTGCCCCTCCCACTTCTTGTGTTTCTAAACCCACGCTTTGCAAGCATCTTCTTACGGGTGGGTAGTAGGGAATAAGGGAATATCATAGTCTCCATATAAAATTTGCCCTTATTCCCTACTAGCCCTAAACACTAAATAATAATGTTTCCATTTCCTTCTTCAATATCCTTATAAAGATCCCTGTATTTGCCACTATACTTTCTTTTTCCTTACAAACTAACCTCCAGGAAGTATAATACTAATCACGCGCAAGTCTTTGTCCAGGCGATCTGATCTCCCTGGCACAGCCCATCGGCTTTGGCATGGGCCCGGGCCTTGTTTTTTTTGAGGGACTGCGGTGGAGGTTTCCCAAAATTCAGGGTGCCTTTTTGGGGGCCCTGTGCTAAGGACTATGGTATTTTGGGGTCGATATTGAGGTTTTTCTTACTTAAGGAAACTACCTTATAGGGATCTGTGCGGGGAGTAGGGTGTAGGCTTCACAGGTGCCGATACCCTTCAAGTCTCAGCAATCTGCCAGTTGTGTGGAAACTACCGTGTGCCTCATGGCCACGTCATGTCGCAAGTTTTGTTACTGGGGTTAGTAGGGAATATGGGAATATATTATACAGGGTTTATGCAGGGATTCTATTCCCTTCTTCCCACCTAAGAACCTGCAAGTTTTGTTTGAGGTTTCCATGATGGGTTTTGGGCCTTGTTTTTGAACCGCCTTTCCGGAGAGTGGTCGAAAAACTCGAAATGCCGTGTGGTTTCTGACAAGCTCAAACACGTCAGCATAAGTTTTCCCACAAAGCGACATTTTCTGATGCTGCTCTTGTAGATTTTATGTGACTTCGGGAACATTGCTGGAGATTACTTTTCATCAGTTCGATTGCTTTCTCGCAGGAAAATCAAAAGTTTTTCCAATCAACCCACAATTTGGGTGCATGTTTTCAAGGGAAAAATGCTCATTGGCTGTGATGTTGACAGCATGAAATCACGTTAGGGGCTTTGCATCTTTCACCCCGAAACTTCGATTCCTAAATTCGAACCCCAACCCCAAGACCTAAGCCCTTGCAACCACAAGCCCAGAACGTTGACGTAAAAATCTCTGAGGTCGAAGCCTTGCAGTACTAAACCTTAAAGCCTATGTCGCAAATCCATGAGTTTCGCACCCCCTGAACTGCCTAAAGCATCACACTCCAAATCTTTACAGCCCTTACATTCCTAAAGTCTAGGCTCCCAAAACCCTCTGCCCTGAGGTTACATCCGGCTTGAGGAGATCATGGAGAAGAACCCCAAGGATGCCTTGCCCGTCACGGTATCCTGGCCTTAGGAAACAAGGGTTTAGGGGCAGGTTTTTCAGGGTATTGCTGAGCATCTGGAATTTCTTAAGGGGGTTTAAAGTTTTCTGGGATTTGTCAGGATTTCTGGCTTGCAAGGCTTCGGCACGGTGAGGTTTCACGTTCTCACGGTGAAGGGTTTCAAGGGCAAATGGCTCATTTTTGTCATTCTTGGGTCTTATGGGCTAATGTCGCTGAAAACGCGTGCAGCGTGTGAACGTATTTGGTATTCGTGCCCCATTGAATATGGAGTATTATATAGGGATTATATAGGGATAATGGACGGCAAAATGGAAACCCCAATTTAGGGTTTAGGGTTCTCGTTGCAGAGTTTTAGCCAAAACCTCGATCTTCATCGCAGTGGACTTACTGGTTCTTCGTCGGGAATAATAAGGGGTTCTAATCTCTATATATGCATCATATTACTATATTACTATGTTACTTCCTTCCTTGCTAACCCCAAACCCTAAATCCTGAATAGGAGTTTTCATATTCCCTTCCATTCTCACTATACAACCACTATATGCTACTTCTATGTTCCCGCATTCCCTACTAACCCCAGTACAAAGAACTACAGGCTTGCCCCATGTAATTACTTGGGCAGTCAGACCACCATTGCGGATGCTATCTGTAGGACTGCGGTTGTGGAACAGACAGTCTGGATCCCAGATGAAAACAATGTGCCGTGAACCCCAAACCCTACACTCTAAACCCTCAAGATTTAATCCATGGGCAGCAACTGTTTGCACAAAAGCAACGGCCTGAGCTCAGACCAAAGCCCAAAACCCTCTAGAGAGGTTTCCCAAAATTATTGCTTGGGGGCAGGCAAATAAGGTCTATAGCATATTGGGGCCTGTACTGGTGTCTATATTGGGGTCCCCCTAAACCCTAAACCCTAAACCCTAAGCCCTAAGCCCTAAACCCTAAACCCTAAGCCTACGGGCAGCAGAGGCCGTAAAGCTGGGCATGGTCGCCCTGGCGTCTTGGGCCTATTATGCTCCCTGGCAGCCTAAACCCTAAACCTAAACCCTAAACCCCATATTATAGTACGCGGTTTAGGGGTTTAGGGTTTAGGGTAGTAGTTTTCATTTTCTTTTCCATTATCCCAATATTACCCCAAAATATACCCTATAATCCCTATACAACACCGTTATAGTGGTTTTCATTGTATACCAATAGTACCCCAATATAAATCGCCTGACTGGGGCTCCCTGGCAGCCGAAGTTGGGAGCTGCCAGGACTGGTTTTGCATTCTGCTCTGGCTTTCCGAAACCAATACTGCTCCCATATGTTTACTGGTTCTTAGTAGGGAATATGGGAATATGTTATAAAGGGATTATAGAGAGACTTTATTTTCTTATGCCCCACCAAGCGCCAGTAAGTATGATCGTCATCATAATATACCACTAAGCGGGTGACGAAGAGCGGACGTGTTTGCATCCGATACAGGCAAAGCCAGAGGTAGTTTGCGGTTTCTATCTCAAGTCTCTCAGCTTTGACAGAACGCCTGCCAATACTCTTAAAGACGAGCTTTGCCAAGAATCAGAGCCAACAACACCACCCCATCCTGCTGTATGAAGATCATCTGTTCGGGTCTTGTACGAGGCTTGTTTCACCTGCCCATGCAGCCCTGTGCACTTCTTTGATGCACTTCCAAGCATATCATGGTATGTGACCCCTGACCCTCTTCCCTGAGCCTCAGGCATTGGATTCTGATGGTGCTAAAGTCTGAGACCTGGGGCCTGCACATACAACTGATCCCTGTTAGCTTCACCAGAGTCGTAGCCAGCCTTTGGCAGTTCAGTATCGTGGACTGTGGATGACGGATTTTAGAATCCTTGCCAACGATATCCGTACACCTTATTCCATTTCATGTCTCTGCACAATGCCATTCCACACCAGGAGTGAACGCCGAATCCTTCCCAAACCAAACAGCGGTACCGTGACGCCAAGTCAGCCCTTAGGGTTTAGGGGTTTAGGGTTTAGGGGTTTAGGGCGGATCGCTGAATCTTCAACCTCAACCCCATGATGCTTAACCCCCCTGCATCTCCTCAGCCCCCTAAACGATGAACACCCCAGCTTCCCGTTCGAAAGCCCACATGGGAATAACAAAAGGATTGTAGGGGGTGCAAGTCTGGGTTGTAGAGGGTCTCAGAACTTGGGCATTTGAGCAACACCCAGTTTCAGCCCAAAACGTTTGAAACCTAAGATCCTAGCCGCCAAAACCTTAAAATCCCCAAGCCCTGCAGCCCTAAATTCTTAGCTCCGCAACACATCCTAAAACCCTAATACGCAGCACCCAAAATCCAACAACTCTAGAACCTTGAACCCTAGAACCTAAAAGCCCTAAAGCCTTCAAACTCTAAACCCCTGAGACTCTAAAACCCCACAATCCCTCTTCGCTCAGATTCTCACCACCGGCACCCCCGACCTGGAGCCCGTCCTTGCATCTTCAGCTGCGCTGCGCCCTGGCAGTCAAACAGAAGATGACTTGTGGTTTTGGGGTTTAGGATTCTAAGGATTTCCTGGTCATTATGATTATAATAGTATATATTAGGGTTTTATTGGGGCTATATAGGGATAATGGAAAATAAGATGGAAACTACTGTAGTGGGTTTAGGGTCCCAATAGTGGAGAATCACATGGAACATGTAAAGTGACATGAAAGCTGGGATGCTATGGCGGTTGGGGCTTTAAGGTTTTGAGGTCTTCGGCCTGCTCGGTTTAGGGTCTTGGTCTGGGCATCCCGCAACCAATAACGCCATCATCACATTCATCACCTGCAAAGCCTCGCAGACGCAGTTGTAACGCGATCTTGGCCTTTGCTATGGCTTGACGGTTCATCATGGGGTCCCCTACTAGCGCCCCTACACGGTTCTCCATTAATCAGCCAGACTTAGCCCTACCATCCTCAAATAAGCCTAACTCATTGGCAACCTTGGCAAATCAGTAGGCGAGCCCGAGCCAATTTATATTTGTTGTTGGGGTTGAAGATTCCAAACCCTTGGGGCAGGGCATGTGAGTGTAGGCACGGGCCGCTCTGAGAGACTCCTTACTGCTCCTGAATAAACCCTAAACCCTAAACTCTTTAAGCTGTGCCTTCAACGAGGCTAGGGGAAGCCAAAGCTCAAACTCAAACACCTGAATCCTTGACTTACCCCCCAGAGAACGCAACAGTGCCTTAGGGTGCTCAATTTGTCTCAGGACGGGCATTTTGTATACCGGGCTGGTGACCACCGCATTGGCCGAGTGCTCAGAGTTCTGAGAGGAAAGGGCTTGTCAACGTGGTGTCTCACAATTCCATTTGTTAACATCGTAGGGCAGTAAGGGACATGATGCACTAGAGATAGCAATGCAAAGGGAACAAACGTGTGGAGAACATTGTCGGCTTGTTGGGCATGATGACGCTTTTTTCCAGGCATTGGTGGTCGAATCAGTGGCCTTCCGTTTCATCGATGCCACCTCTGCGTCAGCCCTTGGGCTCAAATGCGTTGCAGAGTGAGGGGTCACAGTGTCGCAACAATGAAAACCATAATAGGAGGAGTGGGCAGCGGATGATGACAGATAGTGCTGATGGTGAGAATTGCCGTTCTTAGCCCTGAGCTTGACTGTCAAGGGTGTGCTGGTTTTCAGACTGGCAGCAATGAAAGGGCGAGCTGTGCTAGAGTCAACGACCTAGGGCCGGAAACCTTCAGCTTTCCTAAATTAATCAGTATTATGCTACATTACACTACATTATACTACATTATACGATATTATAGTATATTATACTATAGTTACCTTTCAGTGAGGACCTAGTTGGCAGAAACTCACGGGTTTCCACTCCTCATTTTGATGTTGAAGCTTCATGCGCTGTTTTCTCCTGAACCTCATCCAGACCCCACGCCTGGCCGTGCGCATGTATGCCTATTATCTACACATATATATATATATACATATACATATATTTTTATACACATATCTATGGTCTCTCCCAAATCCCACCGTGGAACCATGGTACCCTCACCAAACCCACCTCGACACAGGTGCAGAATTAGATATTTTGTGTCCAAATGGAGCGGGTATTGAAATGGCCTGGAGCAGTTTCATTTTACATTGTGGATTTTTGAAGATGGAAGATTTTCAGGATCCTGGCAAACATGACTTTGCAAGAACACTTATTTTCCGAAGAAAAACACAAAAAAACTTTGAACAGGCGCCATAGTTTGCCAACAACCTGTTTTTGTTTTTTTTGTGTTGGTTGCCCCTAGAGCTTTCTTTACTCAGAACTTTCCGAAAAGAAGAGCGTTTTCAAATAGCGCACCTTTGAAAAACATTTTCTGCTAGGTTCCACGGTGGGTTTTGCGGGGTAGCCTTTATATACATATGATAGTGCACATATTGGAGTTCCCATGGACTTGGGCTGCGACCCATGGTCTCTGAATCTGAACTCTCGGGGCTCCCAGAAATCTTGACAACTTCTGAGTCCCTACATTACCTCGAGTTACAGTAACTGAGGTGATCTTCACCACGGAGCCCCTCTGGGCAGCAATCTTCGCTATCTGGCTGACCCTCCGCTTGAAGTTTGGAAAAGCTTCGGTGGGGTACGTGCAACTTGTGATGCCACTGAACCATGTGTGACCCTGCATTTAGGATCCCAGTGTGCTTCTGCCCTAAGCAAGTTAGCCCAGTATTCCGCTCCCCCTAATAACAATCCATTGCACTCCCTTCCAATCAGGGCTTGTTCATAGGGATAATGGAGAAGAAAATGGAACTATATGATAGTATATTACAGTATATTATAGTATATTATGGTATATTCTGGTATATTCTGGTATATTATGGATTTGGGGGTTGGGGGTTCATTAACATAATACCTTTGGGCTTCATCAGGGATCCAATGCATCACTTGTGAGCTGAAGGGTAGCTCCTCTGGTTGCTTCCAAAATGTTGGTTTCATACGCTCATGGACAATTGTCAAAATTACGAACATGAGTTGCTTTGTAACTCTCTAGTAGAATGGCAAACGGCAAATTTGACTCCGAGTTTTAAGCCTCACTGGCAGTACATCACCTGTTCTAGTCACAGTGGTAATCTTCATTCAGCATATGAAATCCTAAGCTTGGGGTACCAATGACCTACTCGCCAATTCGTCTTTTTACAACTAAGAAAACCCCTATCCCCAAGAATCAAGTATGTTCCTCAATATAACCGGCGTACTTGTGCGCGGAGTGTTATCCCCAACAAAAATCCCCATACTCCCAAACTCAGCAATCCTACAATACCCCCGACAATTGTCTTTTACTTCTATGTCCAAACCCGAAACCCTGAGTCCCCACGTGACCTGCTGTGCTCATTGGCCTCCGGCTCAGGATCAACGAGCCCTTCTCGGCGGTGGATGCCGTAGGACTTTTGTCTTTATTTTGGTGTGGGTGGGTGGATTGTGGTCCTAGATTCCTTATGCGGATATGTTACCCTCTATCATGGAGAATCAAATGCAAAAAGAACATGGAAAATGACATGGAAACTGGGATCATACGGGTAGATTGGGTGTGTGGATTGTGTGTGGATTATGGTCCTTGATTCCTGATATATAGGTTTCTTGCATGAGGTATCTCAAATAGACCTCAACATGATACTGGTGATTATCTAGGCCCCTGTGCAGTGATCCTTGCAAGGCTTCCGCAAACCCTAAACCCAGAAACTTACCCCCATGTGAGCTATAGTCTAAACTCCTTAGGGTGTATTTCAGGGGATCAGGGTTATAAAGGGCGATGCTAGGACTTTAGATTATAACCTAAACCCAAACCATAAAACCCAAACCCCAAAAACCCAAACCCTAAACCCTATCCTTATGTGGCTTCATCTTGGCCCTGGTCTCAGGAGGTGCCCTGGTCATTGGAGCCAACGTCATCAAGGAACCAGCATCACGGAATTCAGAGGGAGGTTTCCCAAAGTCAGGGGTACCCTTTAAAAGGGGTATATTATAGGGTTTAGGGTTCCCAAATGCGGTGCACATTTGCGGGGGTCCCCAGAATAGCAGTTCGGGAGATATATTGAAGAGAGTTGGGGGGTGATGTATTAGGATTGTATCAAGAGGGATTGAATTGAGATTGGCGCGGCGTGATGATTGTACGGGAACCTTTAAGGCCATCTCAGTGCTCTGTGACTCAAAAGTAGGCGAAACAAATCCTGAACACCCTATCCCTAGCATGGGAGGATGCCCATAATTTTACTTCAGGTTTCTCTGCGGCATCCTAGCAGCCCCTTGCAAAAGTCCCAAGATCCTGCAGGAGCCTACACAACCAATACGCCCCAAATCCTAAGCCCTAAACCCCAAACCTTAAGCCCTAAACCCTAATTCCTAAACCCAAAGCATCCCAAAGCCCTAAACCTTGAACCAACGGCAGGAGATGCCAGAAGAGAGTTTGCCCTGGAACTGGAAAAGCGAGGAGAAGTCCACTGACCCCTGAGGGGCGCCAGCGTGCCCCGCAGCAGTCCCCTAATACCCTCCAGTTCTTCCTGAAATAAACCTGGGGTCTAAACCCTAAACCCTAAGTTAGGGTTAGGGACAGTTCCAGCTCCTGTAGTCTCCCGTAACCTCAGAAACTATTCTTCATGTTTGTTCTAGTACAACCCTAGGCGCTAGGGGATTGTTCCTGGGGGAGTGTTAGACACATTATTTTCATCGAAGGTCTAGCGGGATTAAAGGCTCTTCCTGAGATGAAAACCTGGGATAGTGTTATCAGCCGGGTGCGAAATGAACGCGTGACTCGAAAGTGCCCACAAGATTGGGAGCTCACCATGCAAGATTTTGGGATACTCTGGAGCGTTGTACCGGGCCTTTTGGGTAGTAGAATCTTATCACAGGAGTTTATGACCCAGATTTTCTCACTTAGGGTTCATGGCTCACATTACCTCGTAGGAAGATTTATCCGAACTTCGCGCATGTCCAGCCTCGCAATCCGCCAGCTCCACTTAAGCCCTTTAAACCCTAAACCCTAAACCCTAGACCCTGAAACCTGAACCCTAAACCCTAAACCCTAAATCCTAGACCCTAAACCCTAAACCCTAAACCCTCAAGGCAGGGTAAACAGAAATTGTATTTACGCCCCGGTCGGCTGAAAAAGAGAACGGAGATCCGGTTTGCTTGTTATGCAGGCGCTGCGTTGTTGCTGCCGGCCCCCCCAGAAAAGGTTCAGAAAAGGCCCAGCGAGCAGGTTGGGCGAGCAGGTTGGGCGAGCAGGTTGGACTGGGCGAGCAGGTGGTCACGTTTTGCAGCAATAAACACTCAGCAAGTGAGCTTTGGGCCTTTCAAAGCAAATTTCGGAATTCTTGAAGCGCATGGAGACACGTCAGAAGAGGAAAGCGAGCATGACAGGTTTTACAGCAATAAACATTCAGCAAGTGAGCTTATTTTGGGCCTTTTAGAGCAAATTTCGG